TACAATCATCCCAGGAAGCAGCACGTGAAGCTGGAAAAACATGTCTCTGACTAACAGCTCATCAGCACTGGTTCCCGAAGGGCTGTGTTTTTTCTCCGCTGCTCTTCTCCCTGTGGAGCAGCTGCACCTTCATTCATAAGTCTGTCAATCTTCTGAAGTTCACAGATGACACCACTCTCATCGGACTTATCGTGATGATGACAAGTCCACCTACAAGTGGGAGGTTGACCATCTGGCGACCTGGTGCAGAGAGAACAACCTGGGACTCAAAGCTCTAAATACAATGGAGATGGTTGTGGACTTTAGGAAGAACTCAGCCCCAGCTATCCCCATCACCCTGTGTGACTCCACAATTGATACTGTGGAGTTTTTCTGCTTCCTGGGAACTATCATCTCACAGAACCTAAAGTGGGAGCTGAATATCAACTCCCTCACAGAGAAAACCCAGCAGAGGATTAAATTCCTGCAGCAGCTGAAAAAAATAACCTTTCAAGGATAATGAGGGTGCAGTTCTACTCCTCAAACATTGACTCCATCCTAACCTCCTCATCACCATCTGGTACGCTAGTGCCACTTCCAAGGACAAGGTCATACTGCAGCGTGTAATTCGGTCTGCAGAGAAAGCGATTGGCTGCAATCTTCCATCACTCCAGCATCTGTACACATCCAGGACTCTGAGGCATGCAGGGAAGATTGTTGCTGATCCCTCACACCCTAGCCACAAACTATTTCAGTCACTTCCCTCTGGTAGGAAGCTGCGGTCCATCAGGACTAAAACCATGCCACAAAAACAGTGTCTTCCCATCCACTACCAGCCTTATCAACAAGGCTCAGAGACACCCTGTCTCCCTCCCCCGTTCAGGACCTAGAAGCTATCCAGATCTCCTGCGTTACATTAATCCAAAGTCTACTCTATATAGTATATAGCTATTTACTATATATTATATATAGTGTATTGTAGGTTTTATAATGTATATAGCTATAGATTCTGTATTCTGTATATATATCTAATTTGTCTGCACCATCAACACCAAATTCCTTGTAAGTGCGAAGCTACTTGGCAGTAAACTTGATTCTGAAGAAGGAACACATTTATATTTAAAAATGCAGGGCTTATGTGGACAACAAACTGGAAAAAAATACTTGTAGCAGAGTTTAATTTCTTTTATTTTACTTGATTGTCTTGAAGATGCATCCCACTTCTACAAAAAGCTCCAGTTATTCAAGGCCTAATTCTTGATGAATTTTCTTCTGACCTTATCTACAAATCTGATTAATCAGCAATGATTAACATGGCTAGTGAGCATTTAAACAGATAATGTGACTATCATACCAGAGACAATCATGATACTGATTTAATTATATTGTGAAGGGCTTTCTGTTACATGCTATTTTGCTTGAGCTACAAACACAAATAACATTCAAATTTAAACCGTTTAACTTCTTTCTGCCACACAGGAGACAGACTTGATATAAAGACCATCTTCTTGCTCCTATCTCAACTATTTAGCAGGACTTGGTTTCAGTATGGTAAGGTGAATCTTTTCCTCTGTGTCTCATTGCATTATTTACAATATCAAATGGACAATGAAATTGATTTATTTTTCAGCTGCCCTGGACTTATTTTATATGAATTACTGCATATATGCAATAATATATCAGAATGAATAGCCTTTGTTTCTGCTGAGGTGTTCTAGAAGCCCAGTTTGCATTTATAGCGTCCTTCAAGTTATTTCCAGTGCTAGATTCAATGTCTATGATCTTCTTATGATAACCCAATGGATTATCCATACGCTGCAGACAAGTCAGCTGCTCAGTAAATTAAGTATAGTGATAATCTTTAAAGCATGTATTAGTATGTTTTGCAGGGTTAGCAGATATAAATTTAAATCAGCCTCTCTACAGTTTAGAGCAGTAATAAAAATTAGGTGCCTTAACATTTCCTGGAAGACGCCTGTGTTGGCTCTGTACTAACAAACCCAGTTGACCCAGAACAGTAAATTATATGTTTTTTTTGCACCTTTAGGGAATGTATGGTGGCTCTCTAAACAGTGACTTCAGCAGCAGTCCATGCACTCTCAAAGAACTCTTCTGCAGCCGATCCAGTGCTCGTCCACCTTTGGACATTTTTTTTTCCTTCCACTCAATCTTCCATTAAAATGCTTGCTAATTTAGCATTGACATATTTAGGCTTGAAGTTTTTGCAAAAACCTTCCATGACTGTTTAGTAAACAACTTTTTAGGAAGCAGTATTTATCATAATCCTGTAGGTCATAACATATCTGCATTAAAATCGTTTTTATCTGTCTTATTTATCTAAAAACCTCTGATAATGAAACTTATCGATTTCCTTTGCTGTAAGCCGCAATAACCAGAATTCACAGGAAAAAGAATTGTCAAGGATTTTACAGAAAATGTAATTTATATGAGTTAGATAATTACGTTTGAATTACTAAAATATACTGTCTTCACGATGTTCCAATTTATTGGGATGTCTCTGTCATTGATATGTGCAACCACAAACTTTTTTTCTCAGGAACTCGAACTGAAGAATGTGAACTTGAGACCTGGAGACAAGCTGAAAGTAAAAGGGGAAATTTTGCATGACGCTGAGAGGTATTTACAAACAGTTCATATTTAATAATTACTATAATCCTGGATATTACTTTATTCCTCATCATCCATGATTATGAAAATGCACAGCTGATGGAAGCATTATACAATTGATTTCTTACATATTTTTTTTATCACAGTTATCGATAAACAAGTACTGCTCTGTTCAGAAAGTCTTGCTAAAAAAAAATAAAATGGATTAATGATGCAAACAGGTTCCAGATTGACCTTGGTTTGGACTCAGAGGACCTGGCGCTGCACTTTAACCCTCGTTTCCATGATGATGCTGATGGAGCCGTACTAGTGTGCAACTCAAAGACAGCGGGTTGCTGGGGCGATGAAAAGAGGGAAATTCACAACCCTCTGCTGAGAGGCAGTGAAGTGAAGGTGAGAAAATGTTTACATTACAGAGAAGAGATTATTATCCAGAGATCTTTGTGCTATTCTTCAACTAGGCTCATATTTCTTTAAAGATTCGATTCCTAACTGTTTCCAATTTTAGCAAAGGAAAATTGTTAACTAAAATAAGCTGCTTTCTGTTTCAGATTGTGTTGAAACTCTCTGAAGATGTGTTTGAGGTGGAGCTCCCTGATGGACAAGAGATGCAGTTTCCTAACCGTGCAGACATGGATGTCATCACCTACATCCGAGTTGCAGGGGATTTCAAACTCACAAGCTTTAAGATCTGCTGAAGCTTGTAACAGAAATGCATGAAGATCTAAATACCAGAATCAAATAAACCAATGTTGTTAGATACACACATTTTTTAAAATGTTATGTTCATTAATCATTTTGTACAAAAAAACAACTCAAACAGTGCACCTGACAAAGCAACACCATTTAACCAAAGAGTTTTCCAGGATAGGTTGGAAGAATCTGGCACTGAAACATGGAGTTTAAGTTTCTTCTCCAAAAGCACATCAAAAACCTTTCGCTCATGTGGTTTAAAAGCTTTGTTTGTGTGTTTGTTCTCTAATGAGAAATTAAATATCTGCCAGAAATGAAAGACTTGATGGGTAGCATTATTTAGGTTAATAGTTTTTTCTTTAGGGGGAAAAGAAAAATACCAGTAGAAGAAAAAATATACTAAAGCTATGTTCACACAGTAGGTTATAATATTCAGTTCATTTTTTCTGAAATCTGTTTTTTCCAATTATCGTCTTTCATACTACTAATTGAATGTGACAGCTATCAGGCTTTAGTCTGAACAGTTCAGGACATGACAATGACCTATACACACAGAAGAAGAATGAAGCAGTCATACAGCAGGGCACTGTTTTGTACACTTGTGCTCCCACTACAAGTGTTCAATAAAGCTTTGTTGAAAAGAAAAAAGTAATTAATAAAAGATGGAAGTTGACAGTATTGGGGACCAAAACTAATAATTAAAAAGGGGTGAGAAAATATATATATATTTTTTCACTAAATAAAATTAGAGGGAAAAAAATGCCAGGCTTTAGATTTATATTTCTTTGTTATTGCTTGCTTTAAAATGGCCTCATTCCAGAATCTTCTGTTTTATGCAAACAATGTCTGTGAGCTGCTCAGATAATCTGCTGTTTGGGAAGTTAAAGTTAACAGAACTGGTTCATGGCTGAGCTGCTGCATGCAAGTTTATTTAATCTGTTTAAATGTGTCACAAATTCGCTAGTTTTTTATTATACAGATGGATAACTATTTCTCCAAAACGTTAATCAAATTACTCATGTTGGTAAATTGGAAGGTGTTTTTGCTGCGTCACTCTTCTCATCTGGTCATCTGCTAGAGTATGTAAGCAGCTTTCTGACAGTTTTACAACAAATAAACTAGAATGAGTTTCAAGAATTCTCCAAGCTGCCTTTGCCCACATGTTCACACTTTTTGTCCATTCCAAAAATACAGTATATCAGGATGTAAGAGGTTATTTCTGCATTTTATTTAAGACAAAGATTACATTTTCAAATCATATTAATTTTCAAAAATCATTTTGGGTAAAACAAAGATATAACTTGCCATAATATCACCAACAAATAAAAAAATAGGTAAAGGTTGACTCAGTTTAACTCAACTAATTTTTGAACATAAAATGGAAAACAAAGTAGAAAGCGCTGCAAAGAATAATTTGCTTATCAAATAATGACATTTCGCTAAAAATTCATACGAGGATATTTGTTATACAACTATTTTAGAAATATTTTTTTATTTTTTTACTGAACTCCCTTAATTGCCTTTATCCAATCCCGGTACATTAACACAAACACAAAAATATGCCATGATGAATTGATTCAATCTAGACAAAAAAAAAGCAACACATTGTACATACTCATATGATGTCAGTTCTAATGCTTTACTTTTTAAAGCTGACTTCTTTAATTCCATCATTGGTTTAATGAAAGATACCCAAAATAAGGGAACAAAAAACAAAAACAAATAAGCTACAATATGAAGTTAGATATACAGATTTTTGTATTGAAGTAACTTTAATAACTCAAATATAACTCAATCAAAACAGACATAAAAAAAAAACCTAACAATCTAATTCTGAGCCACTATTTCTGCACATTCTTCAACAAATTTTTTTCTACTGTTAGGAAGCATCCAACTTTAGGGATGACATTTACTTATGAACAGTTGCATTTTTTTTTTTTTTTTTTTTTTTTTTTTTACAAACTACATATTTCACTTAAGCTTTCAATGGCTTTCTCTTTACTGAGATGTTTCCATTCCTGAGGAATTTTACCCCAACCCTGGAATTTCAATTTATAGTGGTTTTCCAGTTCCTCTTGGAAGTGGCAGACAAACCATTTCCAGTAAGCCAGCTTAGAAGCATCAGCTGTGATGCTCCATGAAGCATATTTTTCTCCAGCAGTTGGGTACTGTTTATAAGGTACAGTCTGCTCTGAGTCAAGTTCAGGGTAAAATCTTTTGTCACTTGCAACTAATGTGGTGCAGAAATCAACAACCAGATCGACTTTTCCTCTAACATGCCAACCTTTAACTCCAGAAGGTCGATGAAAAGGAACACTGTGTTTCTCAGGACTGTGATCCTTCAGAGTGTTGGTGCAAACAGCAGCACAGAAAGGACACCTTACCCAGCAGCAGTTACACAGCTGATCAATGAGGATTTGTTCAGGCTTCTGCCTGCATTCCTTCACCTTTTCCAGGGGCAGACTGTTCATTTCCACTGTGATAATTTTCAGGCCTTTCTCCATCTCTTCTTTCAGAAAGTCAAAATTCTTTATGTCACTGAAGTTTTGACAATTAATGGTTTCAAGTGTCAAGTTTCGCCCTAATACACTAAAAAACTCCTCTAACCAGTCTTTTATTTCTCCCTGTTCTTTTTCCAGTTTCTCTGTTGCCTTAAACAAAGCATGACTGATGATCTTGTAGATGTCTTCTACATTTTTCCTGAGAATAGTCTGGGCTTTACTTTTATGTGTTGTGAACATATATTTATAAACCTCTTCTTTAATAAAGGCTTTTACTTGCTTTTTTGGATTTCTGATGTAGGAGATGAATCTGCTAAAGTCTTCTTTCTCTGCCAGAGATGCCAGCACATGTTTCTCTAAGTTCAGTCTATTCTCACTGAAGGCTGGATAATTGCACCTCATCTCTCCAGCAATATCAACTCCAGTCTTGTTACAGACGGCTTCAATAGCAGAGACTTTTAGTTTTTCACACATCATTTCTCCAAACAAAACAACAGAGGAGCTTCCTTTGCAAAAGCCTCTAAAGATGTTGTAATATTCTTTCTTTTTGCTTTCCAAATAAGTACTCACGTCATTGTTCTCCTTGAATTTCTTATGGGAGTCTAAGAGCCAACTCTCTGCCCTGTCAAACGCATACAGTGAAAGGTCAGCTATAAACTCTTTCTTAAAAGTATATTTTCTCCCTGATTCAAACTCTGTCACTCTGTCTTTAACAGTTTTGGCAAGTTCCTGCAGGTAAGTTATGCTGTAACCTCTTGTTGAAACAGGTTTGGTCTTAATCACCCCCAGACAATCTTTTTCAACATCTTCGATTAATCGTCTGATTGTTTCCTGTTCTTCATACTTAAGATGATTTGATTTACTTTTGTCCATATTCTTATGAGTCATTGACATTAACAATTCTTTACCATTCTGGACAGTGGTAGAGATATCATTTTTGCCCACTGGTTCTGTCTTGCTTTCCTGAGCTGGTTGTAATAAGTTAGACAATCTAGACTTCTTTTTTGTTGTATAACAAGAGTAATTTCCCCTTTCTGACAGATATATGTATGTCTTTCTATTTTTTGACTCATCAATGAGCCTAGATTCAAGCCCTAGATCTTGAAGAACAACTAACTCATCTTCCTCCAAATGTATGTCCTCAATTGGTTTTGCATCTGAGGTTAACTCCTTAACCCAATGAATCCAGACAGTGTTAAACTGCTCTTTTAATTCCTCTTCATCTTCTGCTAAGGATTTTAATATGGTAGCAAGCTCTTTACTCTTCTGGAAGAGTTGGTTTTGAAACTCAGTTTTCTTCTTTTCAAGTTTAATTCTAGCAGTATTCTGCTGGATAACATCCTCCAGTTTTCTTTTCACAGCTCTCACAAGTTCCTCATTAAACTCTTTGATTTTGTTCTCAAATCGGCCTTTCCACTGAACCAGCATTTCTTTGTCCTTGTCATTGTCGAAGTAAGCTCCTAAACTGTCTGTTACTGCTTTGTAAGTTTTGCTAATTTCTTTGTAAAGGTAACTGAGCTCAACTTTGTCCAGCTGCCCCTTTTCAATCTTGGGATAAAGTTGGTTTTCAATGTTCAGCATTTCACTCCTCAGGGTCCAAGTCCAATTTCCATACTCAACCTCCAGTTTTCTGTAAACTGCAATTTCTTGTGTGTTTTTGAAGCTAAAAACAAAGTTTTCATTCATCAACGCATTCCACAGGTCCTGAATCTTGGCATTGAAATGTGACAAAAGGATCCCATCAAACGGTTTAGCCTTAGAGAGGATGATGGTCTTCAGTTCTTGGACACTCTCACTATACCCTGGATTTGGAGGAGCCATTGGTGGACTTCCCTCCCACAACTGAGCAAAGTATTTCACATCTTTTTGCACATCAAATGCGATGACATCACTGAAGCACTCAGCATCACACACTTCTTCTTTAGCAGCTAGTTGAGCCATCTTGTCCAGTGTTTCCTGCAGGCGTCTTTTTCCATCCATGTTTTTCTCTGCTGCTGCGATATCTGTGACATTCTGGTGAACAAACACACAACTTGGAGAAAGCTTGACTTTCTTCATCCTCATCAAAGCCTGCACAACGATCTGCAGGACATCTTGCATCTCAGCTGGATTTTCACCAAAGATGTTTATTAAGGTCATGTTTCCAAGACCAACAACAAATGTTGCAAGTTCATTGTCATGAAGGGTGGCATTGCCTGCTAACTCAAGAGCACGCAGTCCTTCAGTGTCAACAACTAGAATATAGTCAAACTTGTAGTCGTTCTGGATTTCATCTGACAGTTTAACCAGCTGCATGTAAGCACCTTTGGTGCACCTCCCAGCACTCACTGCAAACTGCAATCCAAACATGGCATTCAGCATTGTTGACTTTCCACTGCTTTGCACTCCAAGAACTGACAGCACAAAGACTCGCTGGTCTCCCAGTTTCTTGATGACTTCCTGTATAAGACTGGAGACCCAGATTAAAGGCACATGACCAGCATCACCATCCATCAGCTCCATCGGGTGTCCTTTTATCATCAGATCGGCAGCCAGCTCAGGGTATTTAGTCCATTCAGCCTGTTGGCCTGGTGATGGTTTTTCCAAAGATTTATGTGCTTCATAGATCTGCCCCATTTCTCTGAAGATGTGTTCTAGACCAAAAGTTGCTGATTGGAGCTTTTTTGATAACTGGTTAAGGTCATCTTGTTTGAGATTGAAGTTAGCAGATTTGTCATGTTTCTTCTTTAGTTCCAGGGACTTCTGACCATTTGTTATCATACTCTTGGAGAATTGAAGAAATATCATCTGTAGAGAGGGCGTCTATCAGGATCTGAGTCCATTTCAAAAAATATTCTCTGTCTTTTGGTGGCAAACGCCTGAGGCTCTCAGTGAATGACTTCACCAGTTCACTGTTGGACAGGTCACACTGCTTCTGTCGCAGCTCTATTAGCTGCTGGATTTTCTGACTTCTTTCTTTCTCAATGTCTACCTTTAGGTTATATGATTCTTTATTGATTTTGCACCACTCATACCAAAGTTGGCCTTGACAGGGAAGAAATGTATCTTTTACTTTAGAAATGTTCATCCCTTCAACCAATTTAACTAATTTCATGGCAGCAGATTTCCCATTCCTGCAAACCTCTGTGTCTTCATCTGCTGTGACTCTGGGGTCACTGGCCAAAGTTTCTAGCTGAAAGGCTGTGAGAGCTCCAGACAAAATGGTTTGTATTATATCTTTCAGTTCTTCAGAAACATCCGACTGGCTTCTTTCTTTCAGACCCAGTTTATATTTTTGTGGTTTCATCTCAACTGCACTACATCCATTGTCAGCAATGAGAATAATCAGAGGCTTTGGAGACTTGTAAAGCTCTGAAATGACTTCAATACTTTCCTGGCCTTTTTCCAAAGATTCTACCAGAACAGCAATGACTGAGGACTTTTCCGTCAATAATTCACGCTGTTTTATAGTTTTTAGTGAATCCCCATGAAGATTACAGAAGGCAATGCAGTCAGTAAAGAAATCGTTGGGTTTTCCAGCAGGGCAGTACCAGGCAATCTCTGCCACACCATCCATCAAATAACGAGATTTGGTGCTGCCTGGGCAGTTTCTATGGAAGAATGTGTGGTGGCGGTCGTTGATCAAGGCATTCATGAGCTGAGATTTGGACGAAGACACAGAGCCCAGTCTGAAAAATGATACCATGGGAGTCTCAGCTTTGTAGATTGGCATGCTCTTCATTGTGACAGTGGTTGTATTGTATCCCATTGTAACTCTTTTCCATGTTTTGGTTATTTGTCTGAACGTCCACAAAGGAAACTCAATATTTGTTGTGACGGGATCAGGGATAAGCAACGGTAAAGCATACTGACATTGTGACAGCTTGGTAATCATTTTCTGTTTAAGGAAGCTGTCAGAGCAGCGAAATGCTGCCATTTGAAGATCCATTGGATGTACATGACTTTCGTTTGACTGATTTAATTCTACACTTGTTGTGAAGAGAGCTGCCAAATCATTTTCATCTGTGACAGCACTTCCAGACCTCAAGATGGACTGTGAGGTTTTCCCATTAGGGTTTTTTTGCTGTATGTGTATGTATCTAGCTCTGTAATCTAACGTCAATAACCTCTGAAAAAACATGCAAACTTTATCTTTCTCATAAATCTCAGTCTGTTTTACAGGAGGGCCTACTTTAAAAAAGTCCTCTGATGACAGCATCTGTTGATGTTGGTCTTGGAGCTGAAGTCTTCTGAGTAATGATTCAAAGTCATGATGATATTTCTTTCTGTATTCCTCTGAAGGATTGTAGGAAGACTGTAAAAGCAATAACATAATAATTTATTGTAGCTTAAAAAAATAGAAAATAAAAAACTATTATTGACCTTTGATTAATAAGACAAAAAAAATGTAAAGATAACTATAGTGTTAATATTGCATAAGTAGTATTAACTACAAGAGGCTACAAGTTAATGATTAGACTAGCAATATAAGTAAAACAGTTATAATTATATTGCTGTTTTTTTGTCAAAAAAAGATTAAACATAAAAACCTCAGTAACATTTTAATATTTTAAATTGCTACTCAAATATGTCTTTGGTTATTTGTAAAGTCACATAACCTCTGTAGTGTGATGTAATTCATTTAAATTTGATAAAATATATAAAATAAGTGGTTAAATGAAATAATAAAAAATTCTACAATTATAACCCTTTAGTTATATAGAACGCAAAAGTGCTCAAAATAAATCCAATCCAATAAAAAAGTGGAAAATGTAACATTATTTCATTATTCTGACATATATTTCCTAATTGGAAGCAACAATTAGGAGCCAACTTTGTGCTCAAAGGCTCTTAAAGCTACAATGTGTATTATTTTTAGGGATTAAATGACATAAATGTAATATATTATACAATAATATGTTAGCAATTATCATCTATAAACAGAAAGTCTCTAGCTTTGTGCTATGGCAGTGCAGAGCTGACAAACTAGTAACTGTAGCGATTTCCCCTATGCTTGAATGTGACTGCAGCAAGTTAGATCACTATAAAATGTGTATCCTACACAAACTAGTAAGATTCTATTTATAGAATTATCAATATAAAACACTTTCACCTCCTCTTGTTCCATGTTCGTTTTGGTCACAGTGCCCAAAACAGAGGCACAAATCATCAGGGGTCCGTTTCATGAAGCAGGTTTAACAAATTCTTAATCAAATCCCCAATTCTAAATTGATCTACCCAAAAGTCGGGAACTCTGAGTGTTCAGTTTCACAACTGCTGCTGTCAATTCGTTCAATCAGTTTTAACTAGGTCCACTTAGAGTTAAGCATGTGCACAACAAGTACGAAAAGCCATTATTAGTGGAGTGGAATCACATGATCAGTGATTCGACGATTCACCATGACAACAGGCAACAGGAAGTGCCTATTTCACGCCTCTGGAATTAGAGATTGTGGCCGTTTCTTAATCTCAATGCAGACGTCCTCTCAACTTCAGAACTTTTAACTACTGTACTACTACTAATACTCTGAGCTCTGTGAGCGCTAACCTGGAAGCTGCTGCTGTCGCAGTGCATGCTGGGACAGCTGTCAATATCAAGAACGGACAAGTCTGCTCTGATGCATTCTTGGGAAATAGGGAGGGGAGAGAACAACATCCGGGACTTTGTCCGTTCTCGGTCTGCTGTTCTTAGGAATTGGAACAGTGCTAGGGCTGAGGCTGATTACATTTCACAAGTACACGAGCACATGAAAACGCACAAGTGCACATATTGAAAAAACGGCCAGAGATTTTAATGCAGAAATGCATAAAAAAATAAAATATTTAAAGACACAGCGCTACAGCTATAAAGGAGAGGAATATGGTGAAGGAGAAGATTGTTGCTCAAGTTAATGGGTAAGTTTATATCTAGTGGGCTATGGTAGGCCAGTTCTACATTTATTAAAAGCACTCTCCTCTGTTGTTCCATTTGTAGATCATTAAAATAAGATTGTTCCTGATCAAAATCACATTCCTAGACTTAACTGTAATAATATATTTTCTAAATTACATTTTGTACCAGAAACTGAATTTTAGAAAGTAAAAAAACAAAACAAAATTGCACTAGTAAGCAGGCTCGGATGGTAATCTGCGATAACGGACATTTGCCCAGTGGGATGGTCCTAATTTCAGCGTAAGAGGGCCGGTCCTCCTTAAATCATACCAGAATTAACTTTTATATATCTAGAAATGTTTACACATTTTAATTGGCCGTTCTGACATTTATCAGATTGACTGAAAAGGTATTTATATCTGAAAAATATGTTTTCATTGTTAAGATAATAAAAAATGCCGACTAGTAATATCAGGATGTGAATATCAGATCTGAAATTAATTTCTAGACATCCAGAATCTTTATTCTAGATGAGGAGAATATAATTTTGTTTTTTGTAATAGCCATTTAGACAAAGAAATTTTTTTTTTTTCAGATATCAGGAAAACATATTCGGTAAAACTAGTACATATTAAAACAGCTTGCCAAAGATGCTGTTACCGTGAAAATATTACGTCATTATTTCTTGAATGGTAGTAGATCAATGTATCTATTTAGGTGAAATCTTCTGGCAGCAGGTGTGGATGAAAAATAAAAACGTTCTAATATATAGAATCTCATGCGTCCCTCCTCATGTTGATTCAATCTTCTAGACACAGTAAAGGGGATGTTTGCAGACAAATGGCTGTTATAAGCGGCTATCTGTTCTATAGAATGGCTTCAGAGTGTGCCAGTAGGCTCATTAGGTTATGATCGAGTGAATCCTAATCCTAACCCTAAAGTTATTCCTTTTCCCTCGCAAAAAAGTGAGTTGTAGAATTGACTCCCTAAATATACACTCACCGGCCACTTTATTAGGTACACCTGTCCAACTGCTCGTTAACACTTAATTTCTAAGCAGTCAATCACATGGCGGCAACTCAGT